ATTTAGCATTTTGTGAATAATAAAGATGTTTTTTTTGTTTGTTTCTTTATGAGTTAAATATGGCTGCTTTGATGCCTTTGTTTATTTTTTATTCTTATTTTTTTGTTTGTTTGTGCAGAAAATGGGGACTTTCTGGCTTTGGACCTGGGAGGAACCAACTTCAGGGTTCTGTTGGTGAAGATTCGCTCTGGGAAGAGGAAATCCGTAGAGATGCAAAACAAGATTTATGCCATTCCTCTTGAAGTGATGCAGGGCACAGGGGAAGAGGTGAGATGTGCTAAATGAATGCATTTGCGAACAAACCTTTAAACGTCACTCCAGGTGAACGGATTCTCCAGTTAGCATTAGGATAGTGTGATTAGAGCTTGAAGGGAAAGCCCTGCTGGTGATGAAATGAGGATGGAAGCTGAGAGGAAGGTCAGTGTATTGGAGGAGAGGGGGCCTGAGATTAACTTTGAGTTAACAGATTAAATCTGAACTTAACTCTTGTGCTCCAGCTGACGCTAATCCAGTTCATTTGTCGGACTTCTTCAGACCAAGAAACTCAGAATAGTTTAACCGTTTCAAGCTCTCATCACCGTTTTCASTGTTTCGTTATTCTATCAGCCAATATTTAGTTATTTTTGGAAACTGTATTCAGTAAGTTGTACATTTATAAACAAGCTAAATTATCGGTTATGAGAATTTATTTTGTTCTTCCTTTTTTTTCCCTCCAGTTGTTCGATCACATTGTGCACTGCATCAGTGACTTCCTGGACTACATGGGGATGAAGAATGCTCGTCTTCCTCTGGGCTTCACCTTCTCCTTTCCATGTCGGCAGACCAGCCTGGATGCTGTGAGTCTGCCGCCGTAGTTGACCTGCTGCTTCTTCAGAGGATTGTTTTCAGTTTGTGACTGTGTGTGTGTGTGGTTGTGTGTGTGCAGGGTATCTTAGTGACATGGACCAAAGGCTTCAAGGCGACAGACTGTGAAGGAGAGGATGTGGTGGGACTTCTGAGGGAGGCTATTAAAAGAAGAGAGGTAAAGCACGAGGAGCCACATTATTCGGTTATTAATAGTTGCGTGCAGAAGGAGAAATCCTGTTCTGTCTTTATTTTAAGGAGTTTGACCTGGATGTGGTGGCCATAGTCAATGACACCGTGGGAACCTTGATGACATGYGCTTACGAAGAGCCCACCTGTGAGGTCGGACTCATTGCTGGTCAGTTTTCCTTTGTTTTCTTTCCGAGCGGTGAAGATGGCAGCGCCTGCGTTCTGCTCGTCTAACACTCACCTCTGACGAACAGGAACTGGCAGCAACGCGTGCTACATGGAGGAGATGAGGAACATTGAGATGGTGGAGGGAGATGAGGGCCAGATGTGTATCAACATGGAGTGGGGGGCTTTTGGAGACAACGGATGTCTCGACGACATCAGGACGGAGTACGATCGGGCTGTGGACGACCTCTCTCTAAATCCGGGGAAACAAAGGTGCTGAATAACGAGAAAATAAATCATATGTTCTGGATTCAGATCTTCGTGTTGTAATAATAATAATCTGAAAGGTTCAAATATGATTTACCCTTTTATTATTATTATTTTTTTAATTGCAGATATGAGAAAATGTGCAGCGGCATGTACCTCGGGGAAATTGTGCGGAACATCCTCATAGACATGACCAAGAGAGGCTTCCTGTTCAGAGGACAGATTTCTGAAACTCTGAAGACAAGAAGCATTTTTGAAACAAAGTTCCTCTCACAGATAGAAAGGTAATCTCTGTGATTCTGGATCGGCGTGTTGCTGTAGAAAGAAGTGAAAAGAACTTTGAACTTTCCCCCTTTTTATATAAGAATCTGTGAAGAGAAAGTCATTTATTWATGAACCTCCTGAAACTCTTTTGTTTCTGTCTCCAGTGACAGACTGGCTCTGCTGCAGGTCAGAGCCATCCTGCAACACTTGGGGCTGGACAGCACCTGTGATGACAGTATCATTGTAAAAGAGGTAAAGGAACCAGAACTTAACGGGACTAATAAACGTTATTTTATGGTTCAACATTCATATTGTTTTCCTATTTTTTCCATAAATTTGTTTTAACCTTGACTACGTTTTAGTCGTTCATATCAAACCTTCAGCTCATTCAGGAGATGGATGCTGTGACTTTTGAACTTTTGTAATTTTGATACTTTTTAGCAACTTTATTGACAAATATTTGCTGGCCCTTATTAAAAAATACATTGAGATCTCTTCAGTTCCTTCAGAAACATTTTTTTTACATCTGCTTTAGCATACTTGCTCTTTTTTACTTTACCTGTTACTATTAGMTTTTAGTCARTGTTCTGCTWCTTTTAGCTTTCAGCTAACATTTTGGTACTTTTATCATTTCACTACTACTTTACTGTTTTTAGCTTTTAGTTAAAGTTCTGCTACCTTTGATTTTCACCATATCTTTTGCTGCTTTTCTGTAGCAGTTTGCTACTTGTAATTACTGTATTTACCAGCTTTCTGCTATATTTAGCTTTTAGCAAGCATTTTGCTGTTTTAGTWAGCATATTCTTACTTTTAGTTATTGTTTTGCTACTTTTGTTTTTTAGTTTGAATTCTGCTCATTTTAGCTATTAGCTACTATTCTTATTTAGCTTTAACAACTAAGTCTCGGCTTCGTCAATAAATTTCAGCAAAGTTGCTGAGCACTTAACATTTTAGGTCAGAAAATTTAGTTTCTCTAGTTTTTACTTTTCTCCTGATCAAATCTACACGTTAYTCATGATGAAGCCAGTTCAGTCTGTATCTTTTTGGAACTCTGTTCTAATTCTTTATCAMCGTCTTGTGAAAGAGCAGCAAGTGTTCAGGAGGCCAGTTGCAACAGATTTGTTAAGAGTCGTGTTTGTTTTCCAGCTTTAGAGAATACGGCAGATTTTCTGTTTTTGTAAACTAAGTTAACTCCGTGTTGAGCCAGTCYGCTGCGTGTTGCAATATTGATAAAGGTTTTCATTGTCAGGTGTGTGGAACGGTGTCGCATCGTGCTGCTCAGCTGTGTGGCGCAGGAATGGCAGCTGTTGTGGATAAGATAAGAGAAAACCGAGGACTGGAGCACCTGAATGTCACTGTGGCCGTAGATGGAACTCTGTACAAATTACATCCACAGTAAGTTTCATTCAGCAGTCATACAGCTTACAAAAAATATTATTATGAGATTATTTTAATTCAAATAATTTGTTTCAGACTCATTAGTAAGTAGGATAGATTATTTTTAGTTATTTTCTTTATTCCTCATTATCAACTCTTAATGTCGTCGGAACTTTCCTTTCTCAGAGTTTGTCTAAAAACACATACGGTTGTCGCAGTTTCATAGTTTTTCTTTCACAAACTTCCAAAAAAGAAATGGAAACCTTAACGTTCAGGGAACATGCTTGTTGTCATCTTCAGTGTAAAATAATCTGCTTGTGTCTCCTTAAGTTTCCTCTTTTAGTTTCAGTCTTCAGAAATATTATTTACTCATTCATACTTTTATTCAGTCATTAAAACAAGTTGAAAAGATCTATACACAATAAAAAACACAAAACACACTTTATAAATGAAATGAAAGGAAGCAGAGGGAAGACAAATATTTTAAAACATGGCAGAGGACCAGACATCTCCTCATTCTTTGTTTGGGTTTCACCAAAAAGCCCATTTAGCAAAAACTCTACAAACGTGTCTCAGGTTGATGTCAAAGATCCACTTCACTTCTTAAGCTGAATGCATAAACATTGGACGGATACTGTTTTGGTCTTTACTCCACCACACCACAAAATCATCTCTGCAGATTTTGTGCAGTTCTTTTGACAGRCAAGACCAAAACAGCTGCAAAAACGTACCCCTAGCAGAGGTCACAGAAGCATCAGGCATGTAAATAGCATGCGCTTGGTGCGCAGTCGGTCATGTTAAGTCATGTTTTTGCAAAGTCGTTGCAGAACCAGGCCTGTTAGTTGCAYAACAGAAGAGAAATAATGGGGTGTGAGTGAATATTCAAGCTGTTCAGCCTGTTAAACATGTAACAACTAAGTTTTCAGCTTTGATCACATTTTTCTGATTTAAAACTTAAAATAGCTAACCCTGATCTGACCCCATGGTGTCAARTTACTACTATTTTTATTTCTTTGTCTAAATTTCTGTAAAATCTCTTGTCTCCGTCTAGTTTCTCCCAGATCATGCACAAGACCGTTGCTGAGCTGGCTCCTCAGTGCACCGTCAACTTCCTGCTGTCAGAGGACGGCAGCGGGAAAGGGGCTGCTCTCATCACCGCTGTGGGCTGTCGTCTCAGAAAGCAGGAGCTCAACAGCAAATAATAAAATCCGAACATCTCCTGTCTCACTGCTCTCACCCTGTGGCTCCTAGCCGACGTCCTGCCCGTTTCCACAGATTGCCTCATTTTCCTCCAAATCAAGCCACGACACTCCAGTAGCTGCTTTAGCTCCAGACCACCAGAGACAAACACTGGGAGAGATTTCTCMGTTGTGTAGTTAGATTATTTTAATTATCCTGTATGTAACAGCACCCAGTCTCTTTGAGGTGTTGTGGTTTTGTGACATTTTTTTGGTTAATCTTATAAGTATGAAAAAAAAATACAAATATCAAGAAAAACACACACTCCTGTAACGCTCCTCTGTCGCCACCTGGTGGAATCCTCTGGTTACTGCAGTCTTGCAACAAGARAGAGCCAGAACATGTTTTAAACCAAAGGCTGTCTGCTGTAGAAGTCACACTGTTTGTACAGGAAAACTTAAAAAAAGGGATTTGAATGTGTACTGATATAAAAGTAATATTTCTTTTTTTGTGCTAAGGGTTATAATATCTTACCCAGATTTAATGCAGTATGTTATACATTATTGTTATTTATTTTATTTTTTTATGTTGGGGGATGTGGATGAATATTACTATTATTGTTAGCATGCACTCAGAAGAAGCCACTGGCAACAATCTCTGTGATCAGAGGAGCTGCGTCGGCATACACTTGCTGTTTGAAGTTTTTACTGAACGTGCTAATCTGGTTTCATCTATGACTGCAGTCCCTGTTTTGTTTTTATCTGTAACATAGTTTTGAACTGTGTTGTGCTGTTGGTACTAATCACAGCTGTTGAGAAATGGCTGTCTTCTCGTTCTTTAGGTTCTCACGTTCACATCCTTCACTTTAAGATTCTTCATTTATATTTAGTTTTAATTAATTGAAAACAAACGGTCATAGAGTTGGTCATTACACACAAACACACAAAAACACACAAAAAAATGTGAATTTGCCATCTTCTGTATTGGTGTAGAGGCTGGTCCTTTTTGATCAAATGTAAAGTTACTGTAGAAGGAAAATATATTTTCCGAGGTCAGTTAGAACAGAATAAATCTGGTGTGCTGGTGAATGATAAATGTTTTATCATTTCTGTTAGAGGTTTYAACCAAAACACAGCAAACTGTCCTGACTGACTGCTTTAGTTTTTTTTACAGCGTTTTTTGACGTCCTGAACATGTCCCTTCACCTTTCCCACAAACGTTTAGCTCACAAACATTTCGATCAACCAAAACTCTTACAAATTTTGTTTCAACTTTGTTCTCAAAYCCCAGATGTGTTTGAAATGCTGTCAGTTTGTCACTCAATAAAATCCAACCTGTGTCCATCTGAGGTGGAGTTGTCTATGTAAGAATTTTAGATAAATGTTCTGTTTAGCTGCATTTCAATAACTGCACAGCTCCACTAACTGCAGTGTCAGGCCTCTGAGAGGAAATAATGTAAAATAAGTTTTATTTTAAAGGGGCAATATCATGTAAAATCAACTTTTTTGAGTTTTATATCATGTTATAATGTAATCCTCTCATAAAAACATGCCCAAAGCCTTGGTTAGACTCATTCATGCATGGTTGAGAAATCCTGCAGCGTTTTTAGGAAGCCATGCTGAGGAGCAAAACGACAGTTGGGGACTAGAAATGCCTCTGGGATGTGTCTTTAAGCCGATATTCCTCATGGCGCCCAACACACACACACACCTCTCTCCCCCTCCCCTCCCTCCCCACACACCCCGCCCATGACTCCTGCAGGCTCTCGGGTGAAACTGAAAGTGAAACTGCTGAGCTCCTAACACTTCTAGCTCTTCAGATAAAAAATACCTTTGAGGAAATGTATTTTCAGATGCCAAGTAAACTGCATTATGGCAGACCCCTAACCTCCCCCT